TGGAAACTGTACAAAAAGTTGAATATTCAATAATAGTTGATTGTTGACTAAAGAGTAAAAAGTTGAAGATTGTATAAAGAATTGAATGCTGAATAAAGAGTTTTCAATAATATTGACTAACAAGTTGAATATTGAATATCTCGAACAATTGAATGTTGGATGATAAGTTGAATGTTGAATAAAAGTGTTGAATTCTGAATAACAGCTGAAAATTGAACAACCAGCTAAATATAGAAAACAGAATTGAATACTGAGTGAGATGAATTGAAATTTGCTACATTTAGTATTTAGTAAAGGCTGTAGCCAGACTAAAATTCTTACTGAAGCAATATTGGAAAAAACGCTCCTATCTATTGAATTTTTTTTAATGCATTGCCTCTTATGGGAACTTAAATTTTAAATTTAATTATAAATTTGTGCCTGTTACTACATTGGCCGATAAATATCACTTTTTATAAAACACAACCTTTCTAACTAAGACTAAATTATAATTTATTTCCTTAAATTGCACATGGCTATTAAGTGGCTGATTCAAACATGACAGCATTACGCCGTGCTTCAGCCAACTTTGTATCTTCCTTGGTAATGACTTTGACCTCTCCATGTTTGATTGTATGAAATTCTTTTTGTGAAATTCCTTTGCTGTGCAGTATTTCCCTCAGTTCTTTAGGCGGCTGAAGATAATGCTGAATAGATGAATGAACAGAAGAACAGTTCAGTTGAATATTGGGTCTTTCCATAGTAATATCAAAAGGGAAATGTTCTGTACACGACTTGGTTCACCCAAGCACACGTGACAAATAGATTCCCACCATATTCACTTGAGAAAGATGTTGAGACAGCGTCGAAAGCTTGTGATTGCTAAGATATTGACTCTGCTTCTGTATCTCATTCCTTATTATGTCTACTACAGAGTCGGGAAACAATGTCTTTACTCAATATTAAAAGCCGGCTTAAATAAGTGTTCTACCAATCTTTTGCACTCCCTTTTATGATGGTCAACACCATCCCTATACAATCAAATCATTCCTAAGAGTGCATACAAAAAGAGTAAAGAGAATTATTAGCTTGGAGGTGTTGGTTAAGCAGGCAATTTCTGAGTTCTCTTATGCCTCTGTTTCAAAATAATTAGTCCTTGTGCAAAGCTTTTCTTATGAAAATGAGTTTGATTTGCATGAAAATGAATCCGAGATAAAACACACCTACACAATTAAATTGCTTCACAGCAGGAAGACTTGTTTTGACACAGAGGTTAGAGGTAACTTAACTTAACTGACTTAACTGTACCAACCTCATAAGATAGATTAAAGGTTCCCCAGTGAATACCAAGAGAAAAGTTGGATTGGACATCTTCATGGATCTCGACTGCTTCTTGAGGATCAATATGCTGGAATTCCATCAGTCCCCTGTATAAAGATATGGCACAGACAGAGAAAGCATACTTTCACTTATATCTGAAATTGCGATATCCAAAAGTTGGCTTATTGTAGAAATTTTAAAATGGGTTACCTTGGTTGGTAAGCTCCAATGGGAATTGCAGCCAGATCAAACGGTCCATATCTCTTGCCAATCTGCTTAAAAATGTGGCAATAACCAGTGTCACCAGCAAAATAGAATCTATGCCGTGGACCGATAATTGACCAGCTACCCCACAACACCTTGTTAGTGTCATTTAATCCTCTCCGACACCAATGCTGTGCTGGAGTAAAGGCAAACTTTACTGCTTTGTTTTCGTCTGTAAATTTAGGATGAGGATGTTCTTCCCACCACTCAAGTTCAACTACATTTTCACATCCACAATCTGTCATCCATTTAAGAAGTCCCATTGGCACAAACCAATGAATTTTATTGCCAAATCTCTTGTTAAGGTTACAGACTGTGTTGTAGTCAAGGTGATCATAGTGGTTGTGACTGATACAAACAGCGTCAATATCAGGAAGTTCATCCACAGTGCAAGGGACAGGACGATATCGTTTCACTCCAATCATACTAGCAATACCACAGTAATAATTGAACACCGGGTCTGTGAGAATATTAAGACTGTCCATTTGAATGAGCACAGTTGCATGACCAATCCAGGTAACCTGGATGTCATTTGGTGGAGGAGCATCTAACACTGCTTTGTCTGGGCTGAGAACAGGTAGAGTTCTATCTAATTCCTGTAGAATGAATGAAAAATTATAATACAATAATTGGACCCTGTTAATTCAGACTCAGTTAACTAGAATTCACCATTATTTTGAGCTTTAAACCACTTCCCTTGAATTTGCCTTTCAGTCATTTACAATCGCCTATGCTGAACTCCCACTACCATGAACTATGTTTCATTTCCCCTCAAGAGGGGGAAATAGCAAGTTAAACTGCACTCAGCTTTATCACAGGCCAGATCACAAATGTCATTAATGGTAGCTATACAGGGAACTGTATTTATGGGACTGGCAACTCGATCTATGCAAGGCAGGAGAAGAGAGGGAGGGGGAACCAGGAAAAAGAGAGAATATTTTTGGCAACTGTTTCTATCGCATGATAGTTACATTTTGTGGTAGAAAAACTATTAATTAAGAAATAGAAAACACGCACTGTGTTTCTATTGAGTTATAGAAACACAAGTGAAAGTTTGGGAGAATGAGAAACACAAGATGACAGGCGAGTGTTTCCACAGCTTTTTGAGTTCTCCCAAACCTTCAGGAGTGTTTCTATAACTCAATAGAAACACAAAGAACATCCACTGTATTTCTTTTACAAAACACCACAATGAAAAAAAGAAAAACAACTTGTTTACTTCGATCATCAAAAATGAAATTCTCTTTGCTTGTGCCATCATTACGTCAACAGCTCGTCCTACAGTAGTTCTGTGTTTCTATCGAGTTATAGAAACATGGTTTTGAACCAATCAGCGCACATATTTGATTTGGGTTATTTTCTAATAAGTTATAGTAACTAAACCTAGTAGAGAACAGTTCAGGGAGTAATCACACAAACAACTTCAAAATTGAACAAGCTAGCAATACGAGGCTGTTTTTATGAGTATGATTATTTCTCCGATATTTGTACAGCATGAGGTCCGATTAATAATAAATTAATCATATCAATAACAAATTTCAAAATTAAAAGTTTTTCAGCACTTCCTTTGAGCGAAAAAGTCACTGGCGCTTTCCATAAGTTTTAAAACTGCAGGAAAAGCTATTAAAA